ATATAGATATATATATATATATATAGAGAGATAGATATAGATATATAGCTAGATATAGTTATATTTATAAATGCAGATATGTATATTTTGAGTGAATTTCTGTTTATCCCCTAGTCATTGAAGATCAAGTCACAGAGTTATGATTGTTCCTCAGGTCTTGATTTCCAACCAGGGGGCTTAAACACAATGAAGCTAGACCCCCCATATTTAATTTCTCTCCCCGCTGATAGCATTTATCAGCAGCATCCTGATAAAAACAAAATATGCAACTTAAGCCTGAGCAGGGCTTAGCCGCCGAGGTGGACCGGATTACCCGGAGACTCGCCAGGACAGGCATCAGATTGTGCTGTCATAAAGGGCCATTAGCCTCTTGGCAAACTGTACCTCAAGCCCAAGATGACAGAGCTTTTCAAGACGGACAGGGGGAAAATATGAAACTTAAATTCATCATGACAGACGTCTCTGTGAAAGGGACCCCCAGAAAGATGGATTTGTTAACACAGAACGAACCTGAAAAGGTTCATTCTTTTCTATTTTGATTTCTATTTGATTCATTTTTTTTAAATCAATTTTCCTATCAAATTTCTTCATGAATCAGTTCATATCCATTATTTTCTTCTGGTGTATGTATTTATGTGAAAACAGAGACAGAACCTCAACACAAAACACAATGGGGTAGACTTACTGAGTGGCTGGGATTAAATTTAATACAGGATCTTGACAGACATATCCTGGAAGCATGTTGCGCTCCCTGCAGATTTCCTATAGGATCCAATCTTACATGTTTTTTAAAATATTTTTTTGGGGGTACCCATGCTTCTTTCCTTGTAAATCAATGGCAATCATTTTTTTATTTACAGCATTTCAATCTTATATGGTGTACCATTTTAATGATGCAGTGTTTGACTTAACTATTATTCAGGGGTGCAGATTGAAAGAGGATGATCTTAATTAAAGAGACATTTTTACTGACAAATGTCTTTATAATAGCCTTTTTATTTCATCCTTTAAGACTAAAACATTGTTTGATGAGCAGACTGACACCTCAGTAAATGGCAAATTGTAAATGACCTGTACTTATGTTACGAACGTAACTGATCCAAACTCGGTCCAACATTGGCAAGGTTTGGTTTTCAGAGGGTAGTGTAAATAGGGTATTTGTCTCGACTCTGCTATGTTGCCACTCTCTCTCATATTATGGAGTACCTTAACAACTCTCAGCGTTTATATAGTGAATGTCACCCAACTCTGCATTTCTGTGTCGCCACATAACCAGTCCACCAAACACATTGAGTACATACAGTATTTCAGAAAAAAAAATTATCCAATGCTTTTTACTTGACTAATGCAAAAAAGAAATAAGTCATTCATTGAAATGAAAAAAACAGCACTCAACAAGACCTAAGGTGAAGACCGTATATAGTATGCCAAAAACCTGCAATGTCCCAATCTGTTTAGACTTTGTTTTTATTGATTTGAATTCTTTAGTGTGAATTTTTCCAAATAAGATGATACAATCCAGCTTTCTTTTACCTTAGGTTTATTTGGGTAGAGTGACAGGACAGCAGACAGTTGGCTGTCCCTCAGATCCTTATCTTTTTCTCTGACAAGAGCCAGATGAGGTAGATAATCTGCATTATTTAATGAAATAACTGTCTTTTTTCCTTATTCCATCCAAAACCCATTTTCATTTGCAGTGCCCAAAGGCCACATGACAAACAAGGCCTGTATGGCTATAGCTGGGGGAAGGGGGTGCAGACCATCAGGCTAGATGGGCAGTTTTCAGCCGGAGTCATCCTCTGTCTCAGTGGGTGTACTTACTGCGTCTGCCGGCCTGTCCTTTGCCAGAGGGCTTTGTGAAAGGGCAGAAATGTGATGCTTCCACACAACAACAAGTCATGGTGCAGTTAGTCTCCAGTGGCCATGTTGGATCTCCCAGTCTCTGACCTTTTTTTTTTTTTAAAAGAAAAGACTACAGGCGCCAGGCACAGTGTAACTGCAGTCTCAGGTATGCTGGGCGGACGTTGAGGCCACTTCCCAGGACTCCTCTTGCACCTGAGACTGAGTGACACGGGAACCATGCTATAGCAATACCTTAGGGAGGGGAGCTCAGTGCAAGAAAGAGCGGCATTCATAGTTAAATGCTTCATAAGAGAAGATATGAATGAAACCGATTTTCCAGAAACTTTCAGCCATTCTAATCAGATCATTCAATCTATGCTTAAAAATGGACATGGGGACAGACGTTATTCTATTATCAGAAATGTCTCATCAGCTTAGGAAACCTAAATACCTCACATGTGATCAGTGCTCTTTTAGGTTTGCCAGAAAACAAAGCATCATAGGAACAAATAAACATTTTACAGGAGAATATCTTGTCCCTGGAGTGAAACATGATGGTGGCAGAATATCGCTATGAAAAAAAAAATAATAACTTTCTTCAGCCAGGAAAAGGAGGTTGATCCTGAGGCGGCAATATAGGCTGGTCCTGCTTTTCACCTTCCAGCAGGGGATTTACACTGGAATGGTCAAGATCAAAGCAGATTAATGTTATACATTTTTCATTTTTGAATTGAGCAGATTCATGATGTAAAAATGCAGCTAATACCAAAGCTAACAATAAACTACTTAGCAGGAATATTACTAGTCTGGTTCTGTCACTGGGGACAGTGTGTAAGTGCAAAAATTCAGTGTGAACATAGAAAAAATGCAGAAAGAGATTAATGTGTTTGAATGGCCCAGTGCAGCATCAAAAACAACAGAAAGTCTGTGGTAAGAGCTGAAAATATGCACACAGACACTTGTCATGTGATCCCATCGGCTCTATGAAGTATCAAGTCATCGGGGGCGGAGTCAAAGGCACATCACACATTTTCCTATTTTAATTTGTTCAGTTTTCAAAAGCATAAATAATATTTCTTTCCTTTTAACAATTATTCAAAACTTTCTGTTTTCTGTCGATTTCTAAAGGCCAATGAAATACGCTAAGTGTAAGAATGTAACATGAAAAAAATGTGAAAAAACTCCAGTTGACATACTTCAATACCTGTGGATGATCCACCATGAGAGTGGTTGTGATATTAGCTCTCTCTCAGTTTTCTCCCAATTTATAAATAAAACTCATATTAAAAGTTTTGGACTTTAAGCTGTTTTTTGATGCCTGTAATGTGCTGCTATGCATTACTACATCCTTATGAGGGATTCTATTTAAACACACTAGAATTAACCCCCAACTCCTCTTCCAGTCTACTTCCTCTTTCCTCTGAGTGTTGTGGCATTGTCATGTACGATGGCTTATGATGATTACAAAATAATTTGAAAATAGAATAAGCACCCTGTGCCTAAGTTTGAGGTTTGTTCTGTCTGTCAACAAGTGACAGCTGCAGAGCAATTTTCATTGTGGTGTGAGTGGTTTTGTGGTAAATGTGCACTCCCATTTATCTAAAATACATCCTAAGCTGTGGCTGCTGCTTCATTATTTGAGTGAGCCGCATGGGTTACAAAGTGCATTTGTTCCCAAATGTAAAATATGTGCAGAGATTTGAATGACTGGAGTGTGTTTGTTTAGAGAAAGGAGGTCTTTCTAGTGGGTTGGAGTAGTTTGTGTGTCAGTTGGGGGAAGAAAGAACCAAGGATAGAGAAATTCACAGAAAAGATGCCTGTTTACTGAAATTTCTGCATATAAAGTCATGGAAAAATATCTTCGACAACCCTTGTTTGCTTCTGTTTTTTTTTGTTTTGTTTTTTTTACAGGTATGAATAATATAATAACCACATATATAGATAGAACAAAACCAATACTGTTCTTCTTCTTAGTTTTTCTTTTTCATAAGTGGATAATTTCTAAACCTTTTAATTTCCAGTATGCTTGTCTTTGTTTGTGTTCTTTAAGTCATGTATTTCTTGAAAATATTGAAGCAGCATCTCAATAAAGGCAATCATTTGAAATAGGTTGAAGGTGGTGATCAGTTATAAACAAAGATATTAATTTAACTATTTCCATTACATTTAGATAGTTAATTGTTTAATCTTCTTGTAATACAAAACTTTTTAAATATCTAATGTAGAGTTTCGCCATTTCAGTTCTGTTAAGCTATAATTCTTCAGCATGTATCCAAGTAAGAAGAGATAGCTGAAAAGTAAATAATCCTAAACTCTTTTCATATCATGTTTATTTCAATAATTAAAATCAAGCATGAGAAAAACTATATAATGATAATGCATTCTAAAATTACCCTTTAAATTTAAGTTTAGAAGTGTTTTATTATCCTGATCAATTTAGAATTTTGTTAATAATCTCTTCCAGTAGATCAATGTTACACCCTCAACAGATTATCTCAATTAAAAAGGACTTTTTTTTTTCTTTTGGAGCATTTTGTAATGCAAATATTTTAATAGTTGTTTAATGTACATGTTTCCAGATTGGACATTTAATCAATAGTACTCCCTATGACTATCGGCAAAGCCAGAACTGTTTTATTATACCCCTCCCCCTTCCCCTTCTTCACTTAGTCATGTAAAATTCTGTACATTTAGTAGCTAAAGTTATCAAAATTCAACAAAATCATTTTGTCTATTAAACTATGCTTAGTCTATGCAGGTTTGTAATACATTTGCTGCACCTAATGAGATGATTGAGGTAATATTACCAAGCTTTGAGGTGATTTGTTTTCCAATTTGATTGTAATTTATAAGACCTCCATTGTACACGAGATATTTTTTATATGATAATCTTTTATGAGCAGTATGAACAGTAATAAATTAGTTTGAACTGCTATTATGAATTCACTTTCAAAAGTTTTTTTCTCTTTACATTCATCTTTTTGTAGATTTTATTTTATTTTATTTTATTTATTTATTTATTTTTCTTAGATTGAACATGACTTCTGCGTTGTCCTGCGCAGCAACTACCCGCCTGAGCAGCCTCAGTTTCCCATAATTCCTCGGTGCGAGTAGGAGTCATCACCGAGCAACAACACAGCAGCGCTAACATGTCAGACAAGAAACAGACCGTAGATCTTGGTTTACTGGAGGAGGACGATGAATTTGAAGAATTCCCAGCTGAAGGTAAATATTTTGCGATTCTTTTGTATTTATGGTGTTTTTATGTATTAACAATTAACAGCTTATCTGAAATGTATGGCCTTAAGGCCGCGCGACAGTGACTCAGCTAGGCTAGTAGCATCGTTAGCAAGTAGTTATCTTTAACTGGCTAACCGAGCAAGAAACATCTCACTGACACGGTTTTATTTTTCAATTTTAGCAAAATCATCTGAGATCTGTGCTGTTTAATGTCTTAGAGCGTATACCGAACATGTTTCTGCGATACAATATTTTTATTTTACTGAACATCCTGTAGCTAACCGCACAGAAGTGTCCCACGACTGTAATTCTACCAGAAACGTGTATGTAATTGAAACTAAAAAGAGGGTTTGAAATGGTTTTGTTTTTGTTAGATTCTGTGAAAAGTTCCGATTCTGAGTAGGAAATATTTCGCAAAAACTGCCTGGTTTTCTGAGACACTAACATTTTTTAAGCAAATGCTGCTGTATATTTTTCAGTTCAGTTATTTCGGTGGTTTGCACAAATTATATTCATAATAATGCCTTCCATTTTACTAAAAGATTAGCTTATATAGAGACAGTGTAATCCATACCAAAAACAGTATCAAATATTTATCCCAACCTTTTGATTAAACTACCATATAAAAATATAAGTTTGTCGTCTTTATTATGTTATTTATTTAATGTATCTCGGATTTAGTGTCGGATAGAATTGAATTTCGTTATTCAAATAGATAAAGCAAAAGAAATTAAATCACCTTAAGGTCAATCCAACAATGCCTAATTAGATTTTTAAATGTAAGAGAGTTGAAACATTAAAATTGCTGTGTTTGTGGGATTAGCACTAAAGAGCAGAGAATGATCAACACCAAAAAATCCTCACCTGAAGACTAGCTGATAGTGACAGCAGCTTTTTCTCTAAGGGTTCAAAATGGAAAATGTACCTAAATGTGAATAATTCTTCTCTGTCAGACTGGACGGGACTGGATGAAGATGAAGATGCTCATGTGTGGGAAGATAACTGGGATGATGATAATGTTGAGGATGATTTCTCAAATCAGCTGAGGTAAAACTAACGCATCACACGACTAAAAGCCTCACTTATTCTAAAGCTCAGTTAAGAAAACCTTGCATGGCACAGTGGATATTAATATTTCGCATGTGCTTTAACTCTCCTGTCTCTCTTGAGATGAGAAAGAGATTTAGAAGAAGATCTAAGATGCAGGTCTACTCAATTAACAGAAAATTATTTAGACTTTCACCTTAAATCTCTTTCTATGGTACCTTTATGGGATGCTGAGCCCCCTTCACTCTACAGGAACAGCGTAAAATGAAGTCATTTTTGAAGGCGGGCCATAAATTAAGTCATCATTCACACCAGATGAGAATTAAGTTTTAGATTGCCTTATCTGAAGCTCACTGACGGTGATAAATTGATTGTGATACTAGGAACAAGTTAGGATCAACATAGACATCTTTTTTGCTCTATTTACAAGTTCTGTTGCACTGTTTTCTTAATACCCTGTTTTTCATGTCTTAAATGCAAAAAATTATAGCAGTCCAGGTGATTTCTTTAAGGGAAGCCACTTGAATGTGAATGTAATAAAATAATCAACTTATAATTAATTGTTAATCAGCGGTTTATTAGATTAAGATTGATTCCAACCTATCAATTGTTAACATTCACTTAAGGAATTATTTTTTCAGTGTTGTAGAGTTACCGCCCTACAGAGTGTTCCTTAGCAGGTGGAGCCTTACTGGAATTTGCAGAAGTAATGCCAGAATGGAGGCTTGCTATAACAGAAACATGAATCAAGTCTGGTCTGTGATTATTTCTACTCTTTAATGGCAGACGATCATGCAGAATGAACTTCATGCAGTTTTATTTGTAAATATAAACACTCGATTAACTGCTTAGGTTTTTGACCTTAATATTGCCCTTTTAGCAGCGCTGCATGATGAAGCAGCGTCCATTTCTCTTCCGTGCTCGTATAGGGTGAAGAAACATTTGAGATATGGTAAAAAAAGACATGCTCAGCAATAAGCATAGTAAATTGGGGAAGGCAGCAGATGAGGAAAGATATAATGTTGATCATCTCTAGGCTCCTTTCAGCTGGAAAAAACTTTGATCACTCCATTACTTTTGCTGAAATTCAATTTGAATCTAATCTGATATAATTATAAAAATCTGTTTATATTGATGCTTGAAATCAAGCAATATCACCAATATTTTTGATTTACATGCATGATGTAAACTCTTCTAAAAACCACTTTCTTACTTGAATTTAATACGATCACCTTTCTAAAGCTCAGTTTTTTATTATTGGATTATGATTTTGATCTTATCACCGAAATGTGTGGATGGATGGAAAAAACATTATTTTGATCTCCGCAGGGTTTATGTTAGAGAGTTCTCATTCTCAGATCTGTAATGCTTTCAAGCAGGGCTGTAACTAACTTGCTAATCGAGTAATCTGTTATATTTTTTAACTATCAGAGAGAGAAATGTTCCTTAGAGAAGATTTTTACAGAATTAAACCAGGTGAAACAAAAACTTTTCAACTTAAGGAGTCTCTGTAGAGCATATTGACAGATGAAAAATTGTTTATTTTTAAAGGGAGAATATATATATTTATTATTTACAAATAAGTGGATTGCTTTGTCAGCTAAAGGCATGTTTTAGTCTCTATTCTCCAGTCAATGATTAGTTTACAATTAATTCAATATTTTAATAATAAAGATTAATCTGATTAATTGTTTCAGCCATACTTTTAAGGAGTTCAAACTGTTGATGAATAAGCGCCTATGTTTAGGTTTGAATTCACTTGGGACAGAGTAATAATAATATAACATTATTTAGTTTAGTAACAATAAACGGGACCAAAAAGGTGGTTCTTAAAGGTATTATTATTGTTGTTTAAGGGCACAGCTGCCATCTGTGTGTATAATAATCAAATCCATAGCTGGATGCATTATCTAATATTTATATAGTTCTTCATTTCTCTGCACCTCCATCTCTTAATGGTTCTTACAATCAATAGCAGAGGGTACTCATGCCCCAACCGCCCACCAGTAATTATCTCTGCTGACTTGATCTCTTATTTTCTTTCTCCTTCCTGCAGAGCGGAGCTGGAAAAACATGGTTACAAGATGGAGACGTCATAATGGATCTCACTATTCACTGTTCAGTGACGTTGGACATTTCTATTTGATTATCACTGGTTGACCATTTACCAATAGAAGACTTTCAAGGATTCAGATTTGTTTTGTTCTTTTTTTGTAATAAATGATGGTAACGTGTTTGGGGAGAAAAAAGGTTTCAGAGTTATTTTTTTTATTTTTTTTTTTCTATAAAGTTTTATTAAGTAGTACCTAGTGTGATGCAAAGGATAAATTGGACATCACCTCACATGGTTGATTATTATTATTATTATTTAATTTGACCCAGTTTTAGGTAGTTGATTAAGGGAAAAACTAAGCACAAAATTAATTAGCTGATATACTGTATATAAAGTAGAGTCATGTCTAAAAAGGATGATCTATAAACACCCTATTTTTTACAATCATATTCTATATATTTACCATGCTACGCAGTTTAGTGATTGATGAGAAGAACTGTATTAATTTTCAGCATCAGTATTCTAACTGATGAGTGTCAAACAAATGACAGTCTAACAAAGGAGGAGACAAAAACCCAGACAAGAGAAAACTGAGATGTACATAAACAGCACAAACCCAACAAGTCTATGGCTTTGGTGCATGACAAACAAACATCCAGAGTTGGTTCCTGAGCAGCTCCATAATGCTCATCACCGCCGCCCCCTCTCAGCCCCACAGCGAAGAGCCGAGTCCCTGAAGGAAAGATTATCCACTGCCGTGTTTGTCAGAGGTGGGGAGGGGGTCTCAGCATGGGGCTTGCCATGCCTGGGCCTGCCCCTTGCTGCCAGCCAGGCCCTTCTCTTCCGCTCAGCACAGCGGGGACTCTCATACTGAACCAAAGGCCAATTTATCCCTGCCATTCTCCTCCGGCAAAATGATTTCTCTCTGTTTTCACGGCTCTTGGTTGAAAGGTGCCAAGGAGCTGAAATTGATGCTGGTAGGACCATAGTTAGAAGGGCTAGTTCATCCTGAAAACAACTTTCCATACTGCACTAGTATTTGTGCAACATTTATTATCTGGACATGCTTTATAGGCTAGTACTTAATACAACAAATTAAACGGATCAGGTTAGCTTTTGTCTATTAAGGAAAATATTGGAAAACATTTAAACTTTTGCGATTTAGGCAAAAGTATGGTAGAAAATTACGCTATCAGCTTAAATTCATGATAAATCCTTTATTCTGTTTAAACAAAAACTGCCCAATAACTGTGGTTCTTTGGAAGAATGATTTGAGCTTTTTTTGGTTTATCTTATTGATAGGTTATCAAGCTATAAAGAGCAGACATTTACTTGTATTAAAATATCTCAAGAGAAAGCATTGAGCAAGAAGCACAAAGGTGGAACTATCGTGATCAGCGCTAACGTTTATACAGGGCATTTTTTTTTTTTTTTTGTGGAATAGTTCTCTAAGTTCAGGATGGAAAGCAGTAACAGAAAACTTGTTCAGGTATGGACTCCTTATTGACTTATTGTTTGTAAAACTGATGGAAGTAAAAATAATAAGTGGTCCTCCTAATGGTCAGTCATTCTGAAAACCTTCCCATGTAAAATCTAATTAATGCTCACTTTCTTTTTCCCGTGTCCTTCCCAAATACAAGAATTCTAGGGTATTACAGGCTCATACTTTGACCTTTTCCATCAGATAACGCTTATTTTGCTAATTGACAAATACACAAAGAGACATTTGCTGGTTATAAACTACTCTAAAACCCTGTGAAAGGGAGGTAAATAGCCAAAATGTTGCATCTTTTAAGGCTAACACTGAGTGAAAGGTTGAATAGCAGTTGATTAATAAATGTTAGGTACACAAGGTTTGTTATTTATGCTGAGTTACTTTGCTTTTAATTGTTTTAAGCATATAATCCTAACCTTTAGATGTTAAATATATGTATATATGATTAGCCTAATCTGAGCTAATAAATTAGTATAGTACAGTAATATATAATTTATAGTGGGAATTTGAATTTATGCTGTACCTACTGCAAAATGGAAGCATGCAGAAAGACATAAAGGTAAATATGATTCTAATAATATATATATTTTTAAATAAACACAGACATTTTATTTTTTTATTTTTTTTATTTTTTTATTTTACGGTAGCTGATATGGAAGTCCCAAAATCTCATTGTATCCGTTGCAGAATATAATGACAATAAAGGCTTTTTGACTTTGACTTTTAGGTACAAAGACTTAGTATATCTTTCTTAAAATACTCAATACTTGTCAAGTATTATTTTCATGATTTATTTTGCAGAATTTAGCCCAATTATGCCTCCAGTATTAGAAATCCAGAGTAATTCATTTTTAATTAGTCTGATTCTAAACTTTATAACATTGTGCCCCAACAGATGAAAAACAAAAATTTTATTAAATCAACAATCCTAAAGCATATTAAAAATGATGGTGGTTGGTGTGAACAGGAGGGATCTCCTGTAGCAGTCAGTATTAATTGAGCTGGAAAAGCTTCTGACCAAAAACAGTTTGATGAGGATGCTCAGGGTTGCTTTAATGTGCTTTGTTTTTAAATGAATCACCCTGCGCAAATTCATCTCCACAAGAACAGAACCAGCCTTGTATTTCAGAATAACCAAGCTAAAGTCATTAAAACTCACCCTCTCTACATTTTTACAAATTAGCTCTACACTTTCAGCTTTATTTCCTAAAAATTACAACTCTAGGCTTTTTTCCTCCCATGTCCAAAGACTGAAAAGTCCAAGCATGTTGAGGAGCATCTGACAGTCACTTCATCTCTTCAGAGAAAACACCAAATCCCTGTTTACCTCGAGTTATTATCTCAATTATCTGTATATCACAGCACAACTGCTCTCTTGGGCATGTTACATGCTCCAGCTGCCACTGATACACAAATTATTGAAAGAAATAAACATTGTGTCAAAGCATGCAGCTGAAAATGAAGTAAGGTCTTGTGTTTTGGGGTCTGATTTAGACACACAGGCTGCTCAAATCTGTTTATGCCCATAAAAGTAAGGGCACTGGGCTCAGATAATTATTCGAGGGGCTGGGCAGTCACTCGAGTGAAAAAAAATCGGTAAGTGAGAGGAACAGAGGAGGACCTGTGACCATTTTGTTTGTGCTGAGAGCGTAAGATTGCTCCCTTGTGTTAGAAGCCGTTGTGGGTCTCCACGGGCCTGTCAGCATTCAGCCTCACAAAGATCACCAACCCTGTCAATCTCTCTCCTCTTCCCTCTTATTCAGTTGCGACCTTAATTTTTTGCATCTATTGTAACTGTTGTTGTCCTTGGTGACCTGCATGATTATCATTGGCTTGAATGACTCCTGGTGACTCATATCAAATATTCTCCAAATCATAGGTATCATTTCAATAAAGGACCCTACTGCTGCAGTGAAAGTTTGCATCACTGAGCTCCTAAATACTTCAAACTGATCCTTCTCTTCCAGACTCCTCGATAAGCATTCTCTTATTTGCAAATCGTTTCCACTCGGCCCACGCAGTTCTGAGACCACATGCAAGAGAGCAGCCAATGGAACTGTGGCGAGGACTATTTCATAACACTTCATGTTGGGAGATGGCAGGTCCATTGTTCTCAAGGCCCACAAGCCTGTGGGCGAGAGTCCCTGCTGTGTCTGCACTGAAGAAACACACCAGCCTCTCAGGCTATATTTTCCTTTTCTTTTCTGCAGAGACTGCTCCAGCTCTCTTGCTCTCTCTGTGCTACAGGCCCTAATCTCTCCTCTCTTCACTTCTCCCCTTCCTCTCCGATCCCCTCACCAGTGCGCCGGGGTGAGGATGAAGCTGTCGCTGCACAGCTAGGAAGCATGCAGCTGCTACTATAATAGCCATAATTGCACGTTTCTTTTGTTGGGTTGAAATTAACAGTGGGGCTACAATCCTACTACTAAAACCCCCCAAAAACCACCAAGTAAAGATGGAACGGTGAGGTTTTTTTTTTTTTTTTAAACTCAGAAGAGCGTTTACCAGAGAGACTGCCAACCCCATTGCAGAATGGTCCACACCTGCATGCTCGCACCCCCGCTAAAGTAAACACAGATAATAAGGTATAATTACTTTAGAAAATAATAACGAGGAGGAACCCTCAAGACCCCCCCCTCTCTTGGTGACAAAGGGCTGCTTGTTTATTGTGGGGGGTGAAACGGCCACAAAGGACGACGGCGAGTGCCCTATCAAAAGACCTGAGGGCCCTACTGAGAGTCCCGCATAGGAAAGCCATCAGTGTCAGGGGGGACTTGGGCTTTTAAGTCTTTTTTTTACTCTAACTGCCTCAATTAACCAGTATGGATTGACCACAGGCCACTTTTTTTGCTCTATTCATGCTCCAAAAATGATCCTGTGTTGTCTTCAAAGATACAAGATCAGAGGAATCATATAATACGGTTATTAAAAGTAAGATATTAAGATTTGCTATTTACATTTCCACTTTAAAGCAAATAGATTAAAGTTTTCCTGTGGATATTGTCTGAGATAAATGTATAGTTTACTGGGGGAAAAAGGTGAAAAAAGATCCTGATGGTTTACTTAATCAAAGAAATAAGTGGTGGGCTTTTAAAATACAAAAAAATTGCTTTTATTTATAAAACACCAATTCACGACATGTCATCTCTACATCATACAGAAAGATTGATTAAAGATTTTATATGCAAGGAAAACCAGCTGATACATGAAGTCAATGAGTTAGCAGGATCGAGCATGTGGCAACAACAGACATACGCTTGCATTGTGCCATTGACTCTACAGCAATCCCTCAAGAGCATGTAGCATATGCAACAGACACAAGTTGGAATAAGATTCTCATTGTGTGAAAACCTTGTTTAAAAAAGATGTTTAAACTACCAAAGATCAATAAATTTGCAACATGAATAAAATACTACTACTAATAATAATAATAATAAAAAAAATCAGTCACTGCATAAAAATCCATCACAGAAAAAAAGTTTACAGATCGCCACAAAATATATTCCAACCAAGTGGAAGAGGGTTCTCTGGTCTCAAGAGGCCAAGATTCACAAACTCACAGCCAAAATTGCAGCACACATCATCCCCAAATTAGACCATAGAGGTGGCAGTGTTATGCTGTGGGATCCTTCAACATTAGCATGAAAGCTGGTGCAAGTTTAAGGGGATATGGAGGGAGAAATTAAGTAACATGCAATGCA